CTGGACAATACTTCAATAAGCTCTAGAGTAAAGGATTGCTTTGATGAAAAGCAGTGATATAAACTGATGACCCGGGAGATTTGGAGCTCTCCCACAAATTTTCTCACATTCCATTCATGGGATCAAAGGAAAAAAATATTAAGAAACAGATATATTAACCATTTTAATTAACTTAATTAGAATTCCATTTAAATTAAATCAATTTTAATTCTGAATATTTGCTTTTTCTTGTTTTTGGTTTGTAAGACATGCAGGTGCTAGCAAAGCCATTCCAAGGCAAAGATCAACCAAGAACTGGAAACGGCTGTGCGGCCCTATTTTGCATGGATAATGTATACATGGCATCACTGGGAGTAATAATGTTTCAATGCATGAAGGCAAAGGGAAAGAAATAGCAGGCACTTTCAGGAAAAGCGCTTAAAATATGTTTTAAAAATTAATTGAAATCATGGAGGGCTTTTAAAAGCCTCACCACAACAAATTTATCATCATTTATTTGTGAAAGATTAAGTTGATTATGTTGGGACATTATGCAAATTACATAGAATTATATTACAGCTCTAATGCAGGACATCCCATTATTACGTATAAGCAAAATTTCAACCAATTGCATAATAAAACATCAGCTGCTGTTAGGCAGTAGAATTGTTGTTTAGATTGTTCTATGCAAGTGAGTGATGTACTTTCCAAGATCAAAATCTATCCCGCAAGCCTGCTTAGAAGTAATGAGGCTCTGTAAAGTTTGGTGTGGATTTAATCCTCCCAATAAGTAGATTCAAGAGCCTTAATGAAAATCTGGCTACTGATAAATTATACACTTGTACTGTATCTGTTGTTATCACAATCGCTTCAATTCTCTTAAACAGTCTTTCAAAATAAACTTTATAAGAAATTCTCAAATAACAGTAAAAATGCCATATTTTCCAAAATATTTCTCTATCTTTTCATGCACTCACAACTTTTTTCCCCTTTTCTTTGCATGCTGATTTACATTTAGGATGTGTGTTTCCTTTCTCCAATGTTAGATTATGCCTCTCCCATGATTTTAAAATGGCTAATGGGTTATTGCCTTGGCAGCAATGTCTCTCCCTGTCTTCTTCTCTCACACACATTATGAGAAGTGATATTGCAAGAATAATAAATTAAAGGATTGCCTCCCAGGATAAAGTTTTATTGATATAAAATAGATTTCATTCTAAGCATTTAAGCTAACTCTCCTGTAGGACAAGCATATACAGTATTTTCCCTTTAAATATGGAACAAGGTATCTGGCTGATTCGCAACTGCTATTGCAGTTCCTGGATTCCCAGGCCAGAATGAATGCTTCATTTGGATCCTAAATTTTATCATATTAAACTTTATTTTTTCTTAGGGAGTACCTGGACAGTGAGTTAGCAGAGTTAGCAGAAATCAAAGCAGAATAAAACTTGTTCCTTTAGCTCTCCAACCTCTTATCTATTCAGCTGGACGATTGAATGGAAGGGACAGTCATATTAATTTCACCAGGACCAAACCTCTCAATGTGATACAAGTCTGCTGGATTAAGAGTCACACAGGGAGATTTCCTAATATTCAAACAAATGGAAATACTCCTCCCCTTGCTATTTTGATATGTTTCATATATTCAGCCGAGATTAGAAGAAGGCTATTACTTTGGGACCAGCCAAAAAACCAGAAGATGTAGCTGCAAGTAAAAATGAGTTTGTTTGTCCGATTGGACTGTCATTTGATGAGATATATCAATTAACAAGGTAATCATAAGCCATTACTCTGCCTCCAGAAGCCTCTAACCCAGAACTGCCATATACAGTTGCTCCCACTATATACTGCACCACATATGGCTTTCACATAGTTGATGATTTGCAAAGGACTCAGTGATACTTTCCTTTCTGGGCAAAATAATAGTAACTAACTGGTCCATCAGGTGAGAGGAGGGCACTTGTGGAGGAGGGGGTGGTTTCCAGCAAACAGGCATGATGACCTTATCCCCAAGGAGCGTGGATATAGCAACATGTATACACACACACCCCCAATTCTTCCAACTTAAAAAAAATACTTGAAGAAGAAACACTATTTTCTAATTCCCAACAATTTGCAATATGGGATAGTGGTGACCCTTCTCTAACCTACCAAAATAGAGCTAACCAGATAGACAGTTCCAGCTGAGCTTGAAAGCACAAGCTATGATGAAGTATAATGTCTGAATTAAGTTTGTTATTTCCTTCATGCAGAATGATCCCTAGCTGTTTTCATTCAAGATGATGGCAGATACCCTTCTAAAGTTCTCTAAGTCCTAGATAAAACAAGGACTATAAAACTATCAATATTAAAAAAAAATATTAAATGATATTGAGTGGTCCAACAAAATCAATCTTGGATAGCCACCAAGATGATAAAAACAATTTCATTTCAAATGAACTGAACAGTTTAAACTTGTATCAACAAGGATCTAAGCAAACAATTTCAAGCTATGTCAGTTATATTAATTTACACTATTTTTTCTTAGGAATAAATTTAATTTCTCTCTGTTCTTATTTTCTCAGTTTCTACTTTTAAATGTAAAACTTAACAAAGATTAGGCACATTTCCCCTACTATATGTGTTTCACAAGAAACTTCCCTAATCAGAAAGCATTTTGTTCACAGTTGAGTGAATTTTTATTAAAGATATATGAATGTCAAAGAATAATTACATTTTAACACAATTAAAATAGTGCAGAGAGCATCAATTAACTAGGTTTACATTAAAATGTGAAACCAGCATTTCTCCCCACCTACAGGAGGAATTATTTATTATTTTGGAAAAATCAAATTGCTGTATCATCAACCAGCTCAATCAACTCAATTTATCCACCCCTCAGAAATAAGTAGGACTTAAAACCACATAAAAGACTGCAGGATCAGATCTAGACATTCAAGAAAAGCAAAATATTTTAGACAGCCTCTAGGCCACAGACATTCAAACAGAGCTGTAAAACCCAAGGGGCTACCTCATTAATTCATGCTTTTAATGGTGCTCACTGAAGCGGTTAATTATTTCTTACTAGCTGCTAATTGTTTTTCTTGGACATTGAGCTCCCTGGCTTTGCAATTCACCAAGTGCTGTAGAATCTGTCTGATTTTTGAAAGCAGGGAGCACACTTTTCTACTTATGAAGAATGTATAACACATGAATAACCAAACCAAAGTGACAAGCTGCCAAAAGAATATATAGGGTTGTTTTTTGCTAACCAGATAGGAGAAGAAATGTTAGAAAAGCTGCTTTTTTTCTCTATTGTAAGAGAAGTAGCACTTGCCATCAATATTTTTTTAAAGATTTGTACCTGGCTAATTACTGATAATCCAAATGTAGCCTTTTTGAGTAAAAAAAACCAAAAACAAAATGCCATCATCATGCTATAAAAATAATCCCTTTTTTTTTACTCTTTTTATTATACAAAATCACCTAAGTATCCACCAATGGGAATTAGCTGTACAGATAGTCCTCGACTTACAGAAGTTCATTTAGTGACCATTCAAAGTTACAATGGCATTGAAAAATGTGACCAATGGCAATTATTCACATTTATGGCAGCATCATGTGAACAAAATTCAGATGCTTGGCAACTGACTCATATTTGATGGTTGAAGCATCCCGGGGTCATGTGATCACTTTTTGCTACTTTCTGACAAGCAAAGTCAATGGGGAAGCCAGATTCACTTAACAACTGAGTCATTAATTTAACAACTGCAGTGATTCAATTAACAACAGTTACAAGATAGGCCGGCAAAATTCACTTAACAAAAATTTTGATTATGAATTCCTAAAAATAATTGTACCCGGACAACACACAGTTTAACTGAAATTGAATTTTTATATGTTATATAAATAAACAAATGTCTCACTTAGTAACAGAAATGTTGGGCTTGATTGTGGTAGTAAATCAAGGACTACCTGTACAGCAGAATTATGTTAAATCCTATCAAACATGTAAATGCAGGACTTGCTCATGATCAAAAGCTACATTTTCCAAACTTCAATTTCTGTGCTTTTACTGTCTTATGAATTGAATGTCAGCATACCTTGCAATTTTCAAAATTAATTTCTAAATTACCTTTCCTTGCAGTCTGTGGCTCTCTTTGTTTCCCCTCCCCCTAGCAAAATGGTAGGTAGTTCCACTGGTCAGCTGAAAAGGAGGAGGAGTGATTTGTGATATTCCCTGTCAGTTTCCCACAAGCAAAGTTACTGGGGAAGCTGGCAGGAATTTAGAAGTCACCCCTGTTCCCAGTGCTTCTTGGCCACCTGGGGTCATTCTGTTTCTCTGTTTAGGTAACAGAATAGCTCTTGAAATGGTGACCTATAGGGCATGGTCTAGTATGATTCTAAATATGTTACCGATAGATTTGTTCCTATATAAAAACACACACACAAAGACTCCCAACCAAACCAAAGACCTGATTCTGATGGAACTCTTATTCTTGCATCTTTAAAAAATAGCCTTTTCTTTTCTACCCTTGATGGATGACCAAATATAAGGAAACTGAAAATATTGGCATTGTATATCTGTTTAGGCAGTTACTAAATGCTCAGTAAGACAGAAAAAAGACCTTGAGAGTCATGGCCATATCAGGCATCAGAATATGGTTCACAGGTTCCCCATCTCCCTGATTCTGTGCTTATTTGCAATACAGCAAAGAATAGAAATAAGAGTTCTAATCTGTGCTCATGCATGCAGTATAAGATATACTAATGGCTTATCAGAAATTTTTGCTTAATAGCTACATTCCAAGTATGATATATTACTTGTAACTTTGCAGAATGGCACCAGCTTCAAAGTTTCAACCTCCCGTTCATCCACACTATCTAAATTCCTCCAATCACAGTATCAGTTTTTATAAAGATGTTACGCTAATCATACAGTGGGAGTAAAGAGAGGCCAAGAATCAGAAAGAACAGACTGGATTTATTTCCCTAAGTCAAGGACAGGGGCAATAGGAGACAAAAAAAGAATAACCTCTTACTTGCAATCATGTTTCTCAATTTCAAAGTGTGGGTTGAAGTTGAGGGTGATCTTCTGGTTGGGTTCTGGGGCATAAATGATCCACTCACAATTCTGATGCGAAGGGTAGTCTTGTGGATAGCCGGGTGAAGTGATATAGCCAGCATCTTTGGAATTCAAGCGGCCCCCACATGGCTGAGCTACAAACAAACAGATAAAAATGTCCAAAATCTAAAATAAAGGCAGCAAGTGACATTGGGTGATAATCTTAAAACACTTTAATATATTTTTCTGGTAAATGATGATTGAATTATGTTGTTGTGATTTTGTGTTTTTCATTTGTTTTACCATAGCCAACTAGATGTGGATATTTAGATTTAGTGTGCACAACAACAGCAATCTCAAATAGCAATAGCATTTAGACTTATATACCGCTTTACAGTGCTTTACAGCCCTTTCTAAGCGGTTTACAGTGTCAACATATTGCCGCCAACAATTTGGGTCCTCATTTTTAATCCACCTCGGAAGGTTGGACGGCTGAGTCAACCTTGAATACATTCATATCTTAGACAGTCCAGGAAACAGAACAGCAATAAATGGGTCCATCTACATTTTTTAAAACATTTAAAACAAAAATCAGATTATCTGGAAATAAATGGAATCTGGAAATAAAACAGGAATCACGGGGATTATTAGATTCCAATTTAATAATTCTGCCTTTGATAAAAAAGGACAATATATAATTTAAAACTGGAATGACTATAGTCCAACAGACTATCATACAATATACAATATACATTTAATATACAAAACAAAAATTAATTGACATCTTCTTTTCCTTCCTTGTCCCTGCTAATGCCTTTTCTCAGCAATAGTTTCTCTATTTCTGAGTTACACAATTCAGTACAACTGAATAAACCTCGCATTATAGTGATCACTATGCTTCAGTGCTTGGCTGTCATTCATCTTGAGAAAGTCTTCATAGGATGGTTTTTAACAGTAAACTGTTCTCCCTCCCTTCATAATTACCATGTCAAATAGGAGTGAGGAAAAGCATTTCAGGGGATACCTGGCAAGATTCAACAAGACCAAACACCTTGGCTTTTGAATGTGCTTAAAGTTTAAAACCTGTCTTCAAATTCACAAATAGAAAATAGTTATTCTTTTTGTTTATTTAAGCAATGGTATTTATTTTATTTATTTCATGTTTGTCCCACCTTTCCTGTCCAGGACATTTTTCATGGTCTCTTTCAACTATTCTTAATTTAGCTGAAACAAAAAAGAGATAAAATCTGGCCCAAGTTCACACAACATGGGAATTTCATCAAGAAGAAATTCCAACCAATATTCTCCAGTCTTATTTTAACATAACAGTAACACTTCAATGCAAGTAGAATATGATTGTCAAGTCTGATTTAAGGTTGTTTTTTTCAATCTAGGAGCAGCAGAAAGCCTTTTCTGAGGAATAAATCATCTGTAGTCTAAAGCAGATGAACTGCCTAAATGACTCTCCAACCTAAAGTGAGGGAGAAGCAATCAAAAAAATATTAAGCCATCTTTGACCTTTTACTAAACTTTTTACAAGGTAGTTAGATAGCCACAGGGTATCATGAGCATGCCCTTTTACGAGATAGCACCCTAGAAAAGTATCCACCCTGTCCAACAGCAATGCATGGCATCAAAAAAGGTCTACGTGTCCCACGTTAGGCCCACACATATAGTCTCTGGCATAGCAAGGAATAGCTTTCAGATTACATCTTAGCATTTCTTCTTTCCGTTCCAACCACAAAACTGCACGTCCACACCCCACTTCACTTTCTTTCTGCATGTCTTTCTTTCCCGGCTTTGCCTTCATCTCCTCCCTGTCTCCGTCAACATTTCATGGCAAGCTAAGCAGTTGGAATTAAAGACTGCAATAATCAGCAGTGGTGGTTTTTGTGGTACTGACCCACAAATAGCCTGGTAACAATTATATCTTGAGTGAGGAAGCACTTTCAACTGTTAGTTATATAACAATGGACCCAGGAGGGTGATTTAATCTTCAAGAAAACATTTCATCTTACAAATGCCACAAATCTGATTTATTATTTCATTACTGGCTTAGGAGGGAAATCTGCATCATACACACAGCTAAATGCATACTAAAGAATCTCAACAATGCCATTCCAATATGGCTGTACAGTATACTGTTTTTATTTTTACTGTGTCCATCAAAAGAAACAAAACTGCACAGCGGTTCATTGCCACCACCAGATGATGTCCCCTCAGGGCAGCCTAAGGGGACTGTCCCTTTCTGCATGCCTCAAGCAATTTCCCAGAAGGAACTGAGAAATAATGAAAGAAGGAAAAGTGCAGACACCCAAAAATTAAATGAAATAGCTCTCTTTGAATTACAGCTTTGGTTCAAATATGACCACAGCTAGAAACAGATAACAAAACAAAACAAAAACAAAGTGTGATTGTACATGTATTGTTTCTAGCAGCTGCCCTACCTCTACACATATTTGGAAATATCCAATGACAGTAGAACATTTTAATGTGTGGAAAATACAGTGGACAGGACGGCCAAGTCTTGAGAACTGCTAAACAATATGTCCCTTGCCCCACAATCAGGCTTAGCCAAGCCAAGCAAGCAGCTTTAGTTTCTCCTTTTTGTGCTGCATCCAATCTAGTCTACCTATTTTTCTAACCTGCTTTATAGAACAAAACTTTAGCCATCGGGATCCAAAACGATGTGAGTTCTCTGCACTCAAGATAATAGTAGCTGACATTTGGCAAGAGGTTTTCTATTGGTACATTGTTAACAGCTGCTAATTTAACTGAGACAGCCAAGACACATGGAAAGTGGTGGATTAAGGCTCACTGGTGCCCTAAGCACTGACAAATCTTGATGCCCCCTCCTTTGTACATACTGTACAAACGAAGCCAAGCTTAAACTACATAAAAGTTTTTGTGGTGCCCCCTTTGGACCTGATGCTCTAAGCATGTGCTTAGTCTGCTTAAGGGTTAATACACCACTGCACATGGACAACTTGGATAATTCTGCCTGATTTACCATGCTGCTTCATGTTGGGAGTAGAACTCTAGAAGTGTCCAGCCTAAATAGCACAGGGAGGGGCACACAAACAGTATTAAAAGGAGGTCTTTGGTACTGGTGAAAACCTTGAGGCAAACAGGAGGCTTTTCATAATAAAGAGGGCTCCTGAACACAAGCTCTGCCCCCCCCATCTCCCCCTTCTTCTAGCCTCTGGGAATGCTTTTATTCTACAGACACATGACACAAGAAGAAAACTCTTTTAAATCAAGGAAGACCAAAAAAGCTACTGGTGTATTCCCCACACTCCACTCTGTAAATGTTATCCAGTGAAAATAATACTCTTGCTTATACAAACTTCTGATTACTGAAATGCACTGGATGACCTCATGGTCCTTCAGATAAGTTGGGGAAGAAATGGACAGAGGAAATGTTGCCTCAGCTGCATAGATACATAAGCAAAAGGCTGAAATTAGAAACTACTACAAACACTATATAAAATTATACAGTGCCTGTAGTTTTCCATTTGGGGAAATTGTTAATGTTTAGAATTTCAGGAGACCACAGGAAAGAAAACAGAGTGAAGAAAGTAAATAAGCTTCAGAGATTTTGCTTCTCTACTGTCAGTCATGCTTGAATGTCACCATCTGCATGAAACAGCATGGCCTTGTGAATTATATATTACTTCTCAGCAGCTACCTCTGAGTTTTAAGGACAGGGGCCTTCTTCCCAAGAGGTATGCATTTCTTCCTTTCTCCCACTCTGGTTGAATGATTGCCACTGAAAGTCCAACACACAGGAGGCCAACAAAGAACTTGCTCACCACAACTGTTTTGTATGCTTGCCTTTTTCAATTTGTCGAGCATCCAAATCTAGTTAAGAGTTCAGACATAACTGAAGCTGCACTAAATCACCTAAGAAAATCAGGTCACAGTAATGGGGTATGCACAATCCTACATTTGGTGCCAATACACAGGAGGTGTCTGGTACTCTCCAGCAGGGATTAACAATAACAGAATTTTTACCATGCTGTTGTATTAGCAGAGATAATGAGCTTCTCACAAATAATCCAATTTCTGCCCAAGAGTTACCCAATCTTCCCAGGTTTCCAAATAAGCAAACTGTACTTTTTGTTACCACTCTACACTGTCCAGTGAGTACAACAAGGTGGTCACCTTTTTGCAACAGGTGGGAGGCATCCTGGCTTCCCTTCTCCAGTTTCCTCTAGTTTAGCTCTTCCAACCCTGGTGGTGGCACCCAGAGAACCGAGGCATATTGAAAGAAGGCAAAAGTGGAGACCAAACCTCTCCACTTGATCTCATTAAAAAAAAAAAAGACACCTCCTCACCCTTCCCTGAAAAGCTATTCTCTGCAAGAATGGTTTTCCCCTTCCCAAGGATAGGAGTAAAGCAGGGGGAGGACTAGTGACAACAGGAAACAACTTCACAGCAGGTTCTATCTGCCTCCTATACAAGCAACTTGCCACCTCCTGTTCCACAAAGGACTGTTTTCCTCTTTCACAAAATCTACTTCCCTCTCAGTGTGCTGGAGGAGACTCACATGTTCAATTTCTGGTATTATCTGAGCTAAATATATAACATTTAAAATATAAATCTTTTGATCATGAGTCAAGAGATCCAGAACCAAAATTTTCAAAATTAATCATCTAAGCCCTCCTTTTTTTTTTTTTTTTTTTTTGCACTCTTAAATAGCAAGTCTTCTGTGAAGACAATAGTCTGGCTTACTCATCCCTGGCAGACTCTCTTAAAGTCCTGTAGAACCATAGAATGTATTTTATCAGAACAAATGCTATGCTCAGCTAGCAGTTAGCAATATAGCTCTGCAGGTTTTAAGTTTTAATTTAATCACGGTTTAGAGTCTGAACTCTTTCACCTTTTCATATGTTGCATCCAGATCCTAGTTGTAAACAGAATCTTCTAGCATAGGAACCTACTTTTTTAGTTTTTATATTTCACTTTCTTGAAAATCTTCTTTTGTAGTGTTTTTTTAAACTCATTTTTGACATCAGAGAATACAAATTCAACAAAAACAGACTGTTCATATATTTCAAAATGTATGTTCCCTATTTTCTAATTTTACATACACTTATTTTGTAATGTTACTTTTGGAGTTTGTTGTTGTTGTTGTTATTTATTATTATTATTA